AAATATTCAGCATCACTAATCATCAGGGAAGTGTAAATCAAAACCACAATGAGAAATCACCTCACAGCTGTTAGAATGTCTATTAGACTATTAGACTGTTAGAATGACTGATAGAAAGACAAGAAATCATGTTGACAACGATGTGGAAAAAAGGAACCACTTGTGTACTGTTGGTGGGAATGTAAACTGATGCAGCCACAATGGAAAAACAGTATGGGGGTTCCTCAAAAAATTAAAAATAGAACTACCAGCAATTCTACCTCTGAGTACTTGTTGGAAGAAAATAAAAACACTAACTTGAGAAGACATATGCGCCTCTATGTTTATTGCAGTATTATTTACAATAGCCAAGATCTGGAAACAACCTAAGTGTCTATCAATAGATGAATGAATACAGAAGATATGGTATATATATACACAATGGAATATTATTCAGCCATAAAAAGAAAAGAGATCTTGCCATTTGCAACAACGTGAATGGACCTTGAGGCCCCTATGCTAAGTGAAATAAATCAGACAGAGAAAAACAAATACTTCATAATCTCACCTATATGTAGAATCTTAAAAGACAAACAAACAAATACACAAACCAAGCTCATAGATAGAACAAATTGGCAGAGAAAGGGGTAGGGGTTTGGAGAAATGGATGAAAAGGTACAAGCTTCCAGTTATAAAATAAGTAAGTCATGCAGATAGAATGTATAGTATGGAAACCATAGTTAATTATACTATGTTGCATATTTGAAAGTGGCTAATAGAGTAGATCTTAAAAGTTCTCATCACAAAAAATAGAATTATATAACCATGTATGGTGATGGATGGTAACTAGACTTATATACAAATATTGAGTCATTATGTTGTACACCTGGAAATAATATTATATATGTCAATCGTTACATACATAATATTATGTATCTCAATTTAAAAAAAGATCCTAGTATTTCATAAGTACATTAAAGTTTGAGAAGCACCGATGAATAAAGTCCTTTCATGAGGATTCTAAGATCCTTAACATTAGGAAATAATTTTTTTCCTTTCTTTCCACCTCAGTCTTAGTCATTTGAGATTCTTAAGTGTCCACTAACACTTTGGACTAACATGGGTTTGAAAAATGCAAAAACATATTAATGTAATATGGTTGCAAGAAGTTTCTATAAGTGATGGTCTCTTTTTCACTTGCACTATACTGAGGCTGAGAAATGACAGCCTATTAACTAGAAGTTCTTTCCTAGTCACTATACCTGGCCTTTAGGGTGAGTTTGTATTAGTCCACATGAAAGAGCTGTGGATTGGACAGCTGAAATCGGCTTTGAAGAAGCCAAATGGAGAGACTATTGCTAGCAGAATTTCAAATTCAGGTGGATGCTTGTTAGTATGCCCTTTCTGCAGGGCAATTTGGCAATATGTTTAAGAACACTAAAACTCTTTGACCCAATGATACCCGTTCTGAGAATTTATGTAAAATACATAATCAAAGACGCACATAAAGACAAATGAAAGAAAATTTTTTTAAAAATTTAAGTTTATTTTTTTATTTTGAAAGAGAGAGAGAGAGCGAGCGCACAAGCTGGAGAGGGGCAGGGAGATTGGAATCAGAATCCCAAGCAGGCTCCATGCCAGCACAGAGCCAGATGTGGGGCTCAAACTCACAAACTGTGAGATTATGACCTGAGCTGAGATCAAAAGTCAAAAGTTTACCTGACTGTGCCATGCAGGTGCCCCATGAATGAAAAATTTTTATGTGCCATTATTTACATTAGTAAAAACTTATAAATAACTTAGATATTCCACATAATAATGAAATGGTGAGCTAGAATATGATGTGGTCACATAACAGAATAATATGCAGCCAGTAAAATCTTATTTTCAGATTGGGAAAAGTTCACAGTATGCTAAATGTAAAGATAAACTCTACAAAAAAAAATGGAGTATGGGGGCGCCTGGGTGGCTTAGTCGGTTAAGCGTCCGACTTTCGCTTAGGTCATGATCTCGCGATTCGTGGGTTAGAGCCCCGCATCGGGCTCTGTGCTGACTGCCAGCTCAGAGCCTGGAGCCTGTTTCAGTCTGTGACTCCCTCTCTCTCTGACCCTTCCCTGCTCATGCTGTCTCTCTCTCTCTCTCCTAGAAATAAATAAAAATATTTTTAAAAAATTAAAAAAAATGGAGTATGATTCAGGGTGCCTGGGTGGCTCAGTCGGTTAAGCATCTGGCTTCAGCTCAGGTCATAATCTCACAGTTTGTGGGTTCAAGCCCTGCATCAGGCTCTGTGCTGACAGCTCCGAGCCTGAAGCCTGCTTCAGATTCTAGGTCTCCCTGTCTCTCTGCCCCTCTCCCGCTCTTGATCTGTCTCTGTCTGTCTCAAAAATAAACAAATGTTAAAAAATTGTTTTAATGGACCATGATCCAAATTTTATAAAAAACAATTTACATAGGAAAAGAAAAAAAGGAAGAGAAATCTATAAAAGTATCAACAGTATTTTTCACTTTTAAATTGAGGGACGTTTTAAAAAATTTATTTATGACTTTCAATATCTATCACCTTTTTGTAATGAACAGTATTATTTCTACTAATAGGAAAAAAATAAATTAAAACAAAATATGTAGTTGCTACTCCTTGATTACTATTCCTGACTTTAAGCCTTGAGTTGGAAAAGGAGGAAAGTTGGAAAAAATTTTTGATGGGACATTATGTCCCTATTTTTAATTGCTGCCACTGATTTGGAAAAAGAGGCCCTCCAACGACAGACACCAAATACTTGTTGAAAATGACAAAGATCTGGGGCGCCTGGGTGGCTTAGTTGGTTAAGCGTCCGACTTTAGCTTAGGTCATGATCTCGCGGTTAGTGGGTTCCAGCCCTGCATCGGGCTCTGTGCTGACTGCCAGCTCAGAGCCTGGAGCCTGTTTCAGTCTGTGACTCCCTCTCTCTCTGACCCTCCCCTGCTCACGCTGTCACTCTCTCTCTCCTAGAAATAAATAAAACATTAAAAAAAAAAACATTAAAAAAACCCGAAAATGACAAAGATCTGATTACAGACATCCCTTTCCTTATTTTTCTGCTAAATTCAAGAATGTAACAGTGATTCTTTCCAACATTAAAAGTCCATTTCCCATACTGAAGGAACTTTAAAAAGTTTTATTTTGGAAGAATTATAGACTTATAGGAAGCTGCAAAGATAATAGAGAGATCCGTTGTGCTCTTCACCCAATTTCTTCTTGAAGCAACTTTTAAACATGAATTATTTGATGGATTTAATTTCTTTATTCTAACAGTCTGAGATTCATGCTGAGCATCAGTGTCGTACATTGTAAAGACATGTCCAGCCCCTTTGGTTTCTCTATTTTGAAAACAGTATAATAATTTTTTTCCTAATTGCCTATGGTTGACCCTGAGTCAGATGCCGGAAAAGAAATCTCAGCCTATTATGTTGCATACTTTCTTCTATCATGTGGAAGTGTGCATGTAAGATACAGTTACAGTTCAAGAGTGCATTTGTGCTACCTTACCAGATACTGGCAATTCCTCTGTTCAGCTTAGCTCTCTGTCTCTTAGGAGACAGAGGGCACAAAAGAGTGTCTTCATTGATAAAAACCTCTCTCTCTCGAATATAAGGTGCTGAGGTTTCAGCATAACTTAAAACAGTGAGGATTGAAAAAATAATACTTTGAAATGACAGCTGTGTGATTATGAGATTAAAATGAAGCAAAAAGATAAAACCTGTTTCTTTTGCCAAATTGCTAATGGTAAAAGCACCACAGCATGGAGGTGACACTCTGGAGTCACAATGATGGGATTAAATTATGGCTCTGCCACTTATGAGCTGTGTGGCCTTAGGCAACTTTCAGTTCCTTAATTTCCTTGTCTGCCTGGCCCATAGTAGGCACTGGAGAAGTATTAGCTATTGTTTCTGTTGTAGAAATTATAAACAGTTAATTCACATACTTTGAGATTCCTAAGCACCTTGCTTATATAATTCAGGAATTTATTTTTTGAGGCATTTGAGAAGGATTCTATTTATTAATTCTTAAAATGTTTGGTAAAATTCAACAGTGAAGCCGTCTGGTCCTGGACTTTTATCTGTTGGGAGATATTTGATTGTTGAGCCCATCTCCTTACTAGTAATTGATCTGTTCAGAATTTCTGTTTCTTCATGATTCAGTCTTTTTTTTTTTTTAATTTTTTTTTTTTTTTATGTTTTATTTATTTCTAGGAGAGAGAGAGAGACAGCATGAGCAGGAGAGGGTCAGAGAGAGAGGGAGACACAGACCGAAACAGGCTCCGGGCTCTGAGCTGGCAGTCAGCACAGAGCCCGACGCGGGGCTCGAACCCACGAACCGCGAGATCATGACCTAAGCGAAAGTAGGACGCTTAACCGACTAAGCCACCCAGGCGCCCCTCTTCATGATTCAGTCTTGATAGTTTGTATGTTTCTAGGAATCAAGGGATCTTTTTAAAGTCATTTTAATGACTATAAAGTTGCGTATACAGCATGATACTGTCAATTACAAGACACCATGATACATTTCAATTTTAGGCTCTAGCAAATGATTCTATACAGTCTCTGGTGTACACTTCTTTTTAAATGATTGGAATTCTCTTCTTTCAACATGTATGTCCAAGTGCCCAGCTGACGCAATCTCCTGTCTAATACTTGTGTTTGTCTCCCATAACTATTTAGACTTTTTAATATTTTTATGTTCACTTCATGTAGATGTTGAAAAATTCTTTGGGAGTAAATAAGATGAGATTATTGACCATGGGGCTACCACTTTTCAGGTCTGGAGCCCAGGATGGGAATAATTTGGTTTTGGCTATCCAACGGAAGGAGTGCCTACACTGCAAAAAAACTACTGTTATTTTTGCCAAGGTAAGGGAGGAATTGTCCTGATCCACATAAAGGCATCCTGTGAGTTAATTGATTAATTCAGTTAAAAGTAGAAGAAACAGCTAAGTGCCAAATGTATGAGTACATGTTAGAAAAAAAAACACCTTGGCTACAAACTCTTTTTAAATAGAAAATATCAGGATTCATAGAGTTTTCAAATGTTCTGATGTGCTCCAGCATCTCTTAGTTTTCAATTAGCAATAATTGCGCCTTGGATAAACCTCATTGGCTACGATACTGCCACTGAGCAAAGCTAAGCATCCCTAAGAAATATTGGGGCGCCTGGGTGGCTCAGTTAGTTAAGTGTCTTTCTCTTGATGTCAACTCAGATCTTGATCTCAGGGTTGTGAATTCGAACTCCACAACTCTGGAAGCCTATTTAAAACTATTTAAAAACTCTGAAGCCTATTTAAAAAAAAATAATGAAATGAAATAGAATAGAATAAGATAGAATAAAATAAATCACAACTAGCAGAAAACCTATGACAGACAATTGCTTCCCATGCTACTAAATACAACCTTTACTATTGAGCCTGAGAAAGTGTTACCTTTAACCAGACAATGATTTAACTTATCCTTTGCTACTCTCTGTAGATTATTTAGATGCTTTGTTTCCATTTTGACTTCAAGAGAATTTTTTTCTTTTCTGATAGTGTATTCATAAAGATTAGGGTTAGAAAATGTTAACTAAAAGTGAAAATATCTAACAAAACTTACTGCAATCAATATAAATAGCCCTGAATTATCCCTCACCTGTTTCTTCTCAAAGCCGTTTATTCCTTGAAAACTGCAGAATCTAGACCTGAAAGAAAGGACTTTAGTACTTTTGTCATTCAATCTCATTTAGCAGTTAGGGGCATATTTTCTATGTGTCTTAGTTTCTGAAAATGGATATAGTACAATTGTAAAAAAAAAAAAAAAAACCATGACTCAGATAAATAAGAAAACAAACATGGATCAAAAATTTTATTTAACTTGGTAACTAGTGAGGGAACCAGTTGGATATTAAAACCGATATGAAGAGCCATTGAGAAACTAGATTTATATAGACAATCTAATTGATTTCTTTCTTAAGTATAAGATTGTTTAGCCCTCAAGCAGGACTACATATCATAACCTATGGGGTTCTGTTCCACTGGATAGAAATCATTTGCTTTTCTACAAGACAAAAATCATTCCTCGTTATTCGTAGATTCCGTATCTGCACATTTGCCTACTCGTGAAAATTTATTTGGATTTTAAAAATCAATATTCATCATGTTTTCATGGTCATTCGAGACCATGCACAGAGCAGAAAAAAATTTGAGTTGTCTAACGTGAACATTCCCAGCTGAGGTCAAGCAAAGTGACACCCTGCCTCCTTGTTTCAGCTCTCACATTGTAAACAAGTGTCCTTTTTGTGGTTTATTTAGTGCCACGTGTTTTGTTTTGTTTTTTCTTGTTTGTGCTTTTTGGTTGGTGATTCCTCCGTTTATTTATTTATTTTTTTGATTCCTCTGTTTAAAATAAGCCTCAGGCACAGTGCTAAAATGCTGTCTAGTGTTCCTAGTGCAAGAAAGCTGTGATATGCCTTATGTGTGTACAAGTTTTGTTCAGATGTGAGTTATGGTGCTACTAGCCAAGAGTTCAATGTTAATGAATTAACTATATATACAATATATATATAGTTCAGTGTTCATGGTGACTTATGAATATCACTAGTGGGAATAATAAGACCTGATTATATCCACAAGTAAATCTCTGCCCCTGCAGAGTTATAAAATAGACCTGTAAATAGTAAGACAAGCCTAGGCCTTCACCACTAGAACACCTGTTACTCTTCCGCGTATTTCCAAATTTCGGGCATTTCTAGTAATATTTAGTTAGCTTTGTAAAATGCCTTGACCCCACTAAAGTTTTCTGCTTTTCCCTTAAGTTGCAAAACAAAAAGCAGGGTATACTTCCATCCTTACATTTTGACTAGTGCTGTGTGGAATGCATTTTTCCCTCATTCTAACTCCAGAATTGCTTTCCAACATTCATAAGTCAGTTTCCTGTGCTTTTAAACGTCATTCCTTTAAATACATGTTAAGCTGTTGCGCACTCACTCTTAAATCCTTCCCTGCTATCTCTACTTTTGGGAAATCTTTTATTTCAGTTATACAGTTATGATATCATTACTTTGCTCCTAGCCCAAATGTGAACGGGTGATTCAAACTATGATAATCTCCCTGGATTTGTTTGTTTTTAGAAGCTTCAAGGATCTAATTTAGGAAGCACTATTAATGAGAAGAGCCACTGCTATAGTAGCACCAGAAGAGGTTTCATCAAGCTCTGTCACTCACTCCAGTAGATGTGTGATCGCGGGTAAATCATCAAATTGCCCTGGCTCTCAGTGTCCTAATCTCTCTCATCTCTGAACGAAGTTAATAACTACCTAGGCTTCCTACCTCCCACTATTGTTTCAGCAGCCAGCTTTAAGTGCATAAAGCAAACAAGGTCCATCCTAGTCCCAGAGGTCAGGGGACTAGGTTAGAGGTCAGAAAGTAATGTTTAAGCTGAAACTTGAAGAAAATAAGGGGAGAGAAGGAGTAACTTAGGAAAAGGCTCTTCTGGAAGGCAGCGTGTCATGCTTGGGGAACTGCAAACCCGGGGTGAGACTGGATTGGGATGTGGGTTCTGTACCACCTGCTTTCTACTAATTGTGAATATTCTTCAATCCATTCTTCTGTTGAACAATTTAAAACAATCATGTTTATTTACATAATAAATCCCCTATTATGTGAACTTTCCTGGCCTCTTTTGCATTGTTCTCCATCTTAAAATTGTGATATAAACTTGAGGAGCTCTTAATCAAGCTTTTCCAATTCCCATCTAAGGTCATCAATTTTTGCTTAAAGTTGATGAGTATTTGTATTTTTCAGCCAAACAGGAGTAAGAATATGTAAAAAGAAAACAAGTAGATCCCTGACATCTTCTACAAAAAGTCAATGAGTGGTCATAAGATTCTAACGGAATTTCAAGAATTCCCTGTGACATAGGGAAGGTTTTGATCCAATTGTATTTGATGTGGCAAATTACAAGCACATTTAAATCCAAAAGAGATCAGAGCAGGTTGAAGCTGGCCGAGTTATCCACTCACCCTTCCATCCATCCATCCATCCATCCATCCATCCATCCATCCATCCATCCATTTATTTCCTTTATGCCTCTCAACCCTTTGTGTGTCTTTCACCCATCCCCCACACCTCTGGCAACCACCAGTTTGTTCTGCTTTGTTTTCTTTAAGTGGCTAACTCATTTTAATGAGCAAAGTTTTGCCTCAAATTCAGTAACGTGGGTGCATAAGCTTAGTGCTGCACTGACATGAACTGGATTACTAAGGAAACTCCAAGCCTTCAGAAAGAGCTTTCAGTCAACAATTAGGAAGTTGTGTTACCTTGTGAAAGGTGAGCCTGCAAATTCAAAACAAAACAAAACTGTTTAAACATCTGGCCTCACAACTAATCATACAACACTTTTAAAAGCATATGGGCATGAATCAAGCTGGAGACACTGGGCCTGATATCAGAAAGCACTGTTTAAAAATGGCTCCTTCTAAGAAAAATCTGAAAGCAAAAAAGAGAAAGCTTTCATTAGAACCATGAAACTGTTTCAAAATCTTACCAAACCTATTTTAAACAAGAGTCATTTAATGCAACATGTGCTTACTATGAATGTCTTTAGACTATAAACCAATTCCTACAGTGTTTAACAAAGTTACATACTGTTATCTGTGATAAATATGGTAATCACAGCTGAGAGGAGATTATACAACTGCATCTTACCACATCATCTTATTTTGTTAGAAAAATATTCTTCACATGTTATCAGTATCTTATATGAAATGTTTTAAAAACGTGTCACATATAGGGGTGCCTGGGTGGCTCAGTTGTCTAAGCGTCTGACTCTTGATTTTGGATCAGGTATTGTTCCCAGGGTTGTGGGATTGAGCCCCGTATTGAGCTCTGTGCTGATCATGGAACCTTCTTGGTACCCTCTCCCCCACACCCTCCTCTCCCCTGCTCTCTTTCTTTCTCTCTCTAAAAAAAGGAGTCATATATGGGAACAAAGCCAGTTTTGAGATATAAAATGATACCTCAAAAAATGATATCTCAAATTATAAAATATGAATTTCAGTTACAAGATGTGACTATTCTGTGATGAAGTGTTCATGATGCTAAAATAACTATTTCAATTCAAATCAATTTATTTTATAAGGAAACGAATGCAAACTTTCAATTAAGGGATATAAAACATACAATAATACCATGTAAATTAAAAGGCAAGGAACAGTATACACTAGCTTTTTCTGGCTATGTTCTATCTACATCCAAAAAGCTTAAAATATTTTACCATAAAAGTCACATTATACAATTTGGCTATTGCAATAAAAAATGGAAAGTAAAATGTCATGTTATTCTACCAAGGCGAATATACTAATTCCACAAATGAACATACTGATTGCTTATTACACTTAGCTCTGAGTCTCCTGTCAGCCAAAAAATAAAAGAAAATGCAAGTTACATAATTCTTACCATGACCAAAGGAAGCATATTATTTCTTCACGCACTCTTTTTTGATACTAAATTCTAAAAGGAAGTGGAATTAATTTTTATTTTTTATTTTATGTATGCTAGGATATTTACATACACAATAAGATTTAATCATCTCAGTCAGCACATATTAATCCATTTTCCATTCTATGAGATATAGATTCAAATCTAGGGCTGCTTAGTTCCAAGGTTTATGCTTTTTCCACATTTCCCAACCACTTTGTAGAGAACACTTAATTATTTTAGTATTTGTTTATTGCACACAGCACTTTAAACTCTGTAAAGGATCAGGATATATCTTAAGGACTTTACTGGAAGCTCAGAACAATTCTCAGAACCATTTTTTTAAAATGTTTCTTTTTGAGAGAGGGAGCGTTACCGGGGAGGGACAGAGAGGAAGACAGAGAATCCAAAGCAGGCTCCACGTTGACAGCAGTGAGCCAATGTAGGGATCAGAGCCACAAACTTGGAGATCATGACCCAAACCGAAGTCAGATGCCTAACTGACTGAACCATCCAGCAGCCCCATCGGAACCATTCTATTTATTTTAATGTTTGTTTGTTTTTGAGGGGGGGAGGGGCAGAGAGAGAAGGACACACAGAATCCAAAGCAAGCTCCAGGCTCTGAGACGTCAGCACAGAGCCTGACACAGGGCTCAAACTCCTGAACCACAGGATGGT